TCTAGGACCTCTGTAATTTTTTTTTTATCATTTTGCTTTTCCATTTTAGATCTCATTTTCTCTCTTTATTTTCTCCCTTTATACACTATGCCTGGAATACCATGATACCTTTTAGTCTATTAAAATCCTGCTCTACTCAAAGCCTATTTCAAAACTACCTTTTTTGTAAAAGCTCTCCCCACCCCCACCAGTAATGATTGTTCTCTCTTTATCTTAGTTTGCTTGGGCCTCTTTTATATACTTAAATAGATTAATTTTGAATGTATTCTATTTTGGTCTACTAGTTTGCAAGCCCTGTGATTTCAAAGACTGTTTTCACTGGCTTATTTATACTTTGTTTCTCTAACAGCATAGAGCCTAGTACACTAAGTTCATCTTCATATTCCTACCTGCCTCCACCTTAGAACCACATTACTTAACCAATTTCCTATATTCTGTTGGTGGTGCCCTCTTGTACCATTCACCCACATTCATAGCTTTGGTGTCATTTTTGACTTCTGTCAGTCACTCCACATATGCCATCAGTTACCAAATCTTGTTATTTTTATCTCCATATTTCTTGTATATTCCTCCCTTCTCTGCACACATACAATAGAGATCTAAATGTCTCCTTTCTAAATCCAGCCACACCACGAAACAGGATTTATGGCATCATTCCAAAGCACCAAGTCTTTTAGAGGTGAGCACATGTTTCCCTGAAGGTTGCCATGGCAACTTAGAGCACACTTAATGGTATGACCCCTGTTATATCTCACAGAGCTGCCAAAGTAAATTTCCTTAATGCATAAGTCTGACTATGGCAATTCTCTGATCAAAAACCTTCAGTGGTTCCCTTTTTACTTCTGGTTAAAGTACTTCTTAGCCTATCGTTCACTCTTTCTTCAGTATGGTTTCTATGAACTTGTTAGTGTTATTTCAGTCTATTTCTCTCACACAAGTTGTACTACAGCTAAGTAGAATGAGCTATTCCTTAATCTTATTTGGCATGCTTCTGCCTCTGTCTGTACAGAGGACATTGCATATTTGTGCTTGAAAGTCACTGCTTCGTTCCTGAAAGACATTTCTTCCTCACTTCTGCCCTCTTGAAATCCTCTCTTCCCTAATAATCCAGCTCAGATGTCACCTGCCTGTCCTTAAATTTTCTTAGACTGCTTTGTCTCAGTCTTTTCTTTGCCTCTGTCTTAGGCTGCCTTGTATCATATTTGTTTGTGTACATGGGTCATTCTCTTCTCTTGGTTTATAAAATCCTTGAAGGCAGGGACCATATTGTTTTCCCTTTTTTGTTGCCCAGTATCTTGCACAGTGCTTAATCTATACAAGAAGATTGATAAATGTATGTCAGATTGAATTATAGTTGCTTCATACATGTTTAATGTATTCTCATAATGAATTTTATTTCATTCTTTAGTTTAGAACGAGACCTATGTTCAAGTGCTCTCAGTGTTAGTCTCTTCATCTGTAAGAGGAAAATAGTAGTACTTGTAATACCTACTACATTCCCTACATTGTGTTTTACAAATTGTTAATGGAAAAGTAATGAAAGTATTTTGTAGGTGTTTATTAAAATTTACTATGTGCCAGGTACTCAAAATACAAATAAAAGGAAAGAAATGATCTTCTTTCAAGGAGCTTACATAAGGAAGCCAGGTGGTGCTGTGACTCTAGTGATGGACCTGGAATCAGCTAGACTTGAGTTCAGATTTAACCCTTGATACATACTAGTTGTTTGTCCCTGGGCAAAGACCCTTAAGCTCCGTCTGCTTCAGTTTCTTTATCTGTAAAATGGGGATAATAATCATGCCTGTCTGTCAGGATTTCATGAGCATAAAATGAGATAATATGTGGAAAGTGCTTTGTAATCCTCGGAGCAGTCTGTACGTGCTGGGTAGTGTTCTGGCAGGTGGTTGTTGTCCCTCCTTCTTGAAGGGGACCAAAATGACCTCACTATGTTAGTTACCAAACTAAATTTAATAATAAATCATTAGTTCAGATTACCAAAGTCTGGAAAAACTTTTGAATCAGTTGTGCTATTACTTTAATTCCAAGAGGTTGAAGAAAAAAAGACTCATGTTTACAAAAATGTTTAGAATAGCTCTTTTTTGTGATGGTATTGAATTGAAAAATAAAAAGGTATTCATCAATTTGGCCTTGAATATAATAGTCATTTAATAAATGCTTGTTTCCTCCCTTCCATCAGTTGTGGAATGGCTCAAAAAATTATGTTATTTGAATGTAAAGGAAAACTAATGAAGGGGATAATTTCAGAGAAATTTGGAGACTTATATGAACTGTTGCAGTTAAATGAGCTGAACCTAGAAAACAATTCGTACTACAATACCAGCATTTTAAATCAAACAACTTGTGTTGTTTGTGTTGATAAATGTCTGACTCTCTGTTCTATTGATTGTTTACCCAGATCATGTCTCTTATGCCACTTTTTGTATGTCAGCCATCATTGGACACATGGCACAGCCCACTTATTATATTCCCTTTAAAAGCTTTTTTGTTCATTATACATCTTTCCATTGTCCTTTGGGTTGCCTCCAGCTTTGATTCTGCCAATGTTGTGGTGTCTCAGGATTTCTACTCATACAGCACACACAGCATTGGTGTGAAAAAGAAGAGGTTGAATTTTCTGAAGCAGCCTGGGATCCCTACACATTCTCACATGGAGGTTGGCTCATTCTCAGAGTCCAGCTTACCACACATCAGAGTTGCAGGGGTTGCCAAGTATACCCAAACCATCCAGAATCTCTGGCACCCTAGATCAGGAATTTCTCAGCCTTGTCTTAACAAGTTCTCATTCACTTTTGGATAACTCTTAAAAGCTAAAAAATTTTTTCTTCGTGTCAGAATGAAACCTTTTCCTCTATACCTTCCAGCCTTTTTTCCCAGTACTGTGTTCTGGAGCCAAAAAGAACAAGTTGAGTCTCTTTTCTACGTGATTACACTACAGATCATTGGAGATGGTTATTATGTTTCCTTCTTCCTGTTATCCCCAGTCTTTCATTCTCCAGGCTACCTTTATCCCCATATTAGCCCGAGGTTCTTCGGTTAGTCCTGATATGACATGTTCTTGTGGCCATTTCTTCTGCTAGATGCTGCCTGTCATATTAGCATACACCCTGAAAGGTTTCATCTAGACCTTCTCTTTGTGGCACGCTAAAGCAGAGTACCAGGAGACACCTTGCTGGTCCTAACTGCCATTTCATTCCTTTTTATTCAGTCCTTGGCCCAGCTTCCTCCTATGCTAGGCACTCAATGCAGATGAACAGTGTTTATCAATATGCATGAGTACATATATATGTCCAGTGACTTGATCATACAATTGTATGTTATTTAGATAACAGGCATTTTAAAATCCATTTGGGTTATCCTTTATGAATTTTATGATTGCTCTCTCTTGTGTAACCATAGCCATTGTGTTCTGAGCTTATAGGCAAAATAAACTTACAAATATCTTTTGCTCAATATCCACCTTTGAGTCTTTGCTTCCATTATCTTTGGTTTTGTTTCTCTTTTAAACAGTAGTTGTAATTGTAGTGTTTACTGTTCTAATTCAACTGATTTTGCTTTCTACCACCTGCAGATTTGTCCATTTATTCTCCAGTCACTGGAGGTATATGATATTGTCACATGTAATTTTTTTTAATCATAAATGAAAAAAAATGGATATTTTTTAGAAATAGGCTCTTTTTAAATTCCTCATGTTATCTTTATGAATCTATTCTATTTTCCCGCTTTGCCATCCAAAAAATTTGTACCAGGCACAAGTCAGTACTGTGGAGTTCCCTTTCTGGAGTCCTGTTAACTAGAAAACATTAATCTACACATTCTAATGTCATTTATATTTTCTCATGATTTAGGAGACTTATCCTGTATTTTTAAATATTTTATATAAAGCGTGTTGGAAAACTTCTTAATTAAAAAAAATCAGAAATAATCCCTTAGCTAATATCCCAGCTTCTAGTTTCCAGTTTACAAATTTATCCAGTAATAAAGATACCAAAATAATCTTCATTCTCTCCCTTTTACATACCACTCTGCTACTGAATCATACAAAATTTCCTCTTGACCATGGCAGTGTAGGTCCTCTCCCCGTTCTTCTCTCTTTTTGCTTGTTCCTCTCCAAAATTATCTGGCACCATTTCCCAAAGTAGAACATCTCTTCTAGCCTATTTTATACTGCATACTGTCTTTGTGTATGCTGATCCTTCCTCTTTTTAGGTTTCTCCTCTATTCCATTCTGCATTCACCATATCTCAGCCTGATTTGAAATGCTTGTTCCCAGGAAGTATTGTTCTGAATAATTCAGTCTAGCTGATCTGTTTCCTTTTTCCCCGTCTCCTTTACTCTTCTAGATCCTATTTCTCATGTTTTGTACTTGTGATAATAGTGATTCATATGGTTTTTGGGTCTCATTTTAAATTCGCATGCTAGCTCCCCAGCTGAACGACAGGTTTATGGAGGACAAGGGACTGTGATAATTATGTATTTTACTGGTTTTTGCAGATTGAGTGCAGCAGATCTCAGACACACTGACATAGGGAATGTGCCAGTCCAAATCTCTCAACCATGGATGTAAAACAAAAGGACTGTCCAACTGCCCCAAGATTCACTTGTGCGTGCGCTGCTGTGTCATTAAGGAAAATACCCTATGGAGTTTTCCAGGGGGAGCCCGTGAGGCGCTGGACTGGAGACGTGGGCCTGAGGTGCTAAAAGTAGCATCCCGAAATGCTTCAGTCCATTTTGAAAGGCCTTCTCCTCTTAGACATTTTGTTGTTGTGGTTCGTTTTCTGGCTGAAAAGTCAATCCAGTAACCTTTTATTGGATACCTACTGTCTGTAGGGAACTGTGCTGGGCACTGGGAATACACACTCAAACCCCCCCCCCCACCAGTCCCTTCTGTCTTGCTAATATTTATATTTTTATTTATTTGTATGTGAAGATTTGTATTAAAACTGTTATACCTTTGATTGACTGTCTGATTTCCTCTACAGGAGACTGAACAGCACCCAGGGGGAAATCCGTGTTGGACCCAGCCATCAGGTAATTAGCCAATCAGTTAAGCGTTTGTTAAGCATCCACTGTTTGCTAGGTGCAGGGAGTCAGAGATAAGTCAGATAGCATCTGCCCTTCATGAGCTTCTGTTCTGTCTGGGATAAGAACATGTACCTTGATAAGTGAATACAAAGTAAAAACTTAGAGAAGAGAAAGTACTTAGTAACTGGGTGGATCAGGAAGGTCTGATACAGAGACAGTCTCTCTTTAGCTGAGTTTTAATGAAAACAAGGCATTCTGAGAGATGGAGATGAGTTGGGAGCATATTCTAGGTATGGGGAAACAGCCAGCACAGAGATGATGAGACGAGATCGTGGAGTGTTGTGGGTGAAGACCAGTGAGAAGTTTGGCCAGGCTCTGCAGAGTGGCAGGGGGGAGGACTATTTCATACATTTGGAAAGATAGCTTTGGGCTTGATTGAGAAGGGCTTTAAAAATCAAACACACCTGCTTATATTTGGTCCTAGAGACAATAGGGAGTCTCTGAAGCTTATTCAGTAGGAGAATAATTCACGGGGAGATACTCATTTGAGGATGGGTTAGAGTCAGGAGAGGCAGAGGGGCCAATTAGGAAGCTCTTGTAATTCGTCCAGATGAGAGAAGATGAGGAATTGAAGTAGGGTAGGAGTTACCTTTGTAAACAGATATGAGAGAGATTGCAGAGGGAGAAAAGACAAGATTTAGCAAACGACTGAACATGTTGAGTGTGAGACCAAAGTCAGTGGTGCACCCATAGAAAGGTGGAAGTTAGGAATAAAGATGGATTTGAGGGAAAATAGAATGAATTCTGTGTTGTTCAAATTGAGTTTGAGATGCCTATCAGACATTCTTTTTGAAATATCTAATAGTTGAAGATATAAAACTGGTAATCAGAAAACAGAATTGTGCTTGATCGATATGTAAATTACTCCAAATTTTTACCTGGTGATGTTAGTTAACATCCATGGAAGCTGAAGAAGTCAACATGTGAGGAGAGTAGAGAGGGAAGAAAAATGACCTGACAGAGTCAAGAGAAAACATTGTTATAAGCCTCAAAGGATACAGTATCTAGGAATATAAAGCAATCAGCATTGTTGGAGGCAACAGGCAAAGGATGCTTGAGTCATGAGAAGAGATTTTTATGGACTTGGGCATCCTAAGTAAATGATAAGGAGAGGTGGCAGAATCCAGAGAGAAGGGAGACAGTAGGGGCAGCTGTGTGGTGCAGTGGATAGAGCACCGACCGTGGAGTCAGAAGGACCATAGTTCAAATCCGGCCTCAGACGTGACACTCAGTAGCTTTGTGACTCTGGGCAAGTCACTTAACCCCAATTGCCTCACCAAAAATAATAATAATAATAAACATAACCCCCCCCCCAAAAAAAAAAAAGGAGAGAAGGGGAATGGTTGAGTTTCCTGTGTGCTAGAAAAGGAGAGGAGCTTAGATCAAATGCCTAGAAGAATGTAACTCTTTAAGGTATATGTTGATTCTCTTTTTTGATCCTTACTACAGACCTGGAAGTTAGGTGCTAATTATCCTTCCTGATGAACTGATTAGGAAATGAAGGCATAGAAAGGTTCCACATTAAGATGTTAGACTTGGATGGGAGAAAGGCCACCTCCTATAGACTGCTGTATTGCACAAGGCTTCTGTTTCTTCAGTGGCAGCAAGACTGAAGCCACGTTGATAACTGGCTGATAAACTGGCTGATAAAATCAGTGCTTCTGTTCAAATGAACCAGGACTTTAAGCAGGTTCAAAAATGGCCAGCTCAAGTGAAGGCCAGCAGCTAAGACAGCTCTTTTGTTGTTCTAGTTGAAACTTGCTGCATTCTTTTTCTCAGAATTTGTCTTTTGGACAGTAGAAAGTTACTTCTGAAAGAACCTAGTAATTGCACATTGGTTTAGGTACCATATCAATGTTTTCATAGTGAGCTTGAGGTTTTTGAGGGAGGTGGTACAGCACTTGTCTGCTTTCTGGTCTCACCCTTCTTACTTTTGCCTTCTGTAATACCTCACAAGAATTCTCCTTCTTGTTTTCTCTCCCATCTTCTTTTACTTGTCTTTGTATCGCTCTTGGTTCCTATTTATCCTATTTATTTTAGTCGCTTCCCTCTTGACCCCATCTCTGTTTTTGCCTCCTCTGCTTTCTCACTAAGCATTTATTAACTGCCTGCTATGTGCCAGCAACTGTACTAAGCACTGGGGATACAAAGAAAGACAAAAAACAGCCCCTGCCACCATGGAGCCTCCAGTCTAATGGAGGAGATAACATATAAAATGATGCTGAAAATCTGGCACAGGGGGGTGAAATCATGCAGCCTGGATCTGAATTTTTTCTGAGAAAGTGAGAGTTTCAGAGTTGATTTCATCTTTGGAAATTGAGTTTCTAGAGATCATCAAGGCCAGCAAAGTACTGGGTGGGAAATGATGAGGTGAATTCTCTGGGTGCCCTCTTTAAATGGTAGAATATCTAGGAGGAGAATATGTGGATGTTCAATTTTCTGCCTCCCCTCCCAGCCGTCCCCCGCACCTCCATTCCAGTCAGAAGGAGGGAGGGCCCCCATGGCAGAGAGTACTGAAAAGCTATTTGTTTCACAGTTATTTTTATCATTAGGAACCATGAATTTTGGAGATCATAAGTCCAGTATCTGCCTCCATCCAGGTCCCAATAGCAGAATTACTAATTTGCAGTTTTCTTATAGCTTGAAAAAAGTTGAAAATCAGTATTGTAGTGTTATATATTTAAATTTTGAAATCTTCATTTTTGATTTTCTTGCAGGTTACTGGTTGGAGAAAAATGGTCCTTAGATAGGTTGATACACTTTGCAAACCTTAAATTTTACATTTGTAAAATTAAATTAAATTTATTAATGATAGTTTTTCAGACCTTGTGTTCTTTTTTAAAATTAGAATTCAGCATTTTAGGGTTCTGTCTGTTTTTGGCATATCCTATCATATCAAAATTTCCCTTCCTCCACCCACCACTTCCTTGATCTGTTTTTTCATTTTATTAAAATTTTAGTAAACTCCTTCATGGCTGGTACTGTCTTTCATTTTACATTTGTATCCAGAGTGCTTATCACAGTGCTTGGTAAATAGCTCATAATTAGTGCTTTTTCATTCATTCATTAAAGAACAAATAGTTTTTATTTTAATCAGTTGTCATTCCCAAACTGTTGTGTGTGTCTTATTATCAAGAAATGTTTTCTAGCATGAGGACTGAAAAATTGCTCCCTTGTATGTATTTGGTGCTTTTCCCTTTCCAAAAGCACTTTTCACATTTAATGTGTCATAACAGACCCAAAGATTATGTTGATTTAGAGCCAGAAGAGTTCAGCTGGTCCAGCCCCCTTGTTTTCCAGAAGAAAAAATCTGAAACCAGAAAGATTCGGTGATTTTTACGAGGTCACACGAGGCCAGGTTAGGGACAGAGGGAAAACTTCAGTTTAGCCTCTTAGATTCCTAGTCCAGTTGTACCACGTGTCCTTTTACTCTAGAAATTAAGCACATCAGGGAATCTCTTATCCATTTGGCGGGTGAAGAAACTGAGATGAAGGGAGATTACTAGTAAATGAGCTAGGATCAAAACGTAAGTTTTCTGGTTTCTGTCTCTGGGCTCTTTCTAGTGCTTCCGTGTAAAGCTGTCTCTAAGTTTCAGTTGCAGATCATAAACCTATTTCAGTGAATTTTGTACCTGGCACTCAATTAGAAAACTGTTGGAAAAAGAGTAGCCAGTTAGTCCTAATAAAAACCACTATGACCATTTTACTTTAATTTTTTTTTAAACTGGAAGATACCATGGTGGTTTTTAAGGAATATTTAATATAATTAATTATGGTATAAGTCACTATATTTGCATTTTTTTTTCAGTGCTACTTTTTTCCTGGTGGTTTGGTCACAGGATTCAGAGATAGCAAGAGTCCTTAGAGATAATTTTGTCTAACTATTTCATTTTAGAAATAAGTGAACTCAGAAATTAAGTAACTTTGTCAATAGTTACAGAACTCCAAAGTGAAAGGAACTCAGCAACCACTATGGCTAACCTCCCTCTGTCTCTGTCTCTGTGTGTCTCTCTCCCCCCCCCCGTGTGTGTATATATATATATATATATATATATATATATATATTTATGTATATATGCATGAGCAAGAATCCTTTTTATAATATGCTTGACAAGTGTTCATCCAATTTTCCTTGTGATCCTCCAGTGAGGGTGGTTCTCTCATCTCCCTACTCCCATTTCACAAAGCAGCTCTCTCCATTTTTGGATAGTTTTAATTGTTAATATTTTTTTCCTTACAGCAAGATTAAATTTTCCATTCTTCAATTTATAATTACTGTTCTCAGTCCTGCCCTCTGGAGCTAGGCAGAATAAATTTAATTAACCTATTACACATCCCATGACTTCCATCTTCAGGACCTTCATCCTTAATACCTTCCTCTTGACACCCTCTAGTATATCTCAGTCCTTTCTGCAGTGCAATTTCCTAAACTGAAGCACAATATTTCTTGTGTATTCTGATGAAAGGGGGACAGTGTAAGGCTCATTTTCCTAATCCTGAGCACTGTGCTTGTTACCATTGGTGTCTGTAACAGAACTGAGATTTAAACCCATGCCTTTCACTTCATGGGTCTTTCTACCAAAGCAGCCTGCCTCATAATTTACTCATATGTTGAAAAGACCCTTTAGAGAGCTAATTAGTAATTTAAATTTTTACTTCTAGCGTGAAAAATTAGGATTAATTTAGGTATGAATCTTATATACACTACTCCCACCCCCACCTTTACCCTACCCCCAGTGTTAGCCCCAATCCCCCTCAAAGAGCAGTACACATATTTTTCAATGACAAATATATTTTATGTGTTCCTAGGGAAAAATGAATAAAATGGGGGGGGGGGGGAGATAAGGAAACAAAAAAGGCCTGTGAGCCAGTGGTTTATGATCGTTAGCTTGAGTATATATATATTGTTTGCCAAAAAATGTCCTATGTTAACAACTGTAAAAGATAGTCATAGGCCTTAAAGATTCTCTCTCCACCTCCCTCCAAACTCAGTTCTTTTCTGATACTTTGAATGACTAATTTTATTAATTGCATCCATTAATTTATTTTGTTTTATTTCACTAAATGTTTCAGCAAATTTCTTTGGTTTCATCTGTTGTAGTTTTAATTTCAAGACATACTTTATAAAGTTGATATTATTTCAACTTTGTTTTTTACAAAATAAAATTGTTATAAATGAAACCTATCTCCTGAGACATTTATATTTTCAGAGTTCTTCATTTATAAGAATCCATTTTTAGTTCATTCATAAATGATGATAATAGTTTTCCTTTTGATTAGTGGAAGTAGTTTGATTGTCCCTTAAATAGAGATGAAATAGATAGTTCATGGAACTTTTTGAATTTTTCTATTTTATGTTTATACTTACTACATTGTCATTTAGAATTCTGCAAGCATTTCTTAAGTGCCCACTGTGTGTAAGGTATCTTGCTAGGGTATAGGAACTTGTTATATCCACAAACCTTAGAATTTATATAATGCTCTACAAATACTTCATTTGACTCGAGATACTACTGTGACTCCTGCATGGGAACGACTCAGTGAGTTCCATAAAAAGTGATATCTCTGGTCAAGGCCTTCCTAGTGAGATAGTTCTTTGATTTGTGTCTTCCTCTGGAAATTTGCGTCCTTGTTTTCTAGGCCAAACTTCCCGAACTGCAGCCGTTTCCTTCCCCAGACGGTGACGCTGTGACCCAACATGAGGAGCTGGTTTGGATGCCGGGAGTTAATGACTGTGACTTACTGATGTACTTGAGGGCAGCAAGGTAACGGGAATGGGGCCTGTTCTGTTTTCTGATTCTGGGTTTCATGCAAAGAAAGTGCTGGGGAATTTCAGGGGGAGGGCCTTGCCAGCCTCCATCGGAAAAGTTCCGATTTGGAAGCTTTCTCGGAGGCCACCTGGCTCACAATCAAACTCTGTGAGAGACACTTGGAGTGTTTCTGACGCCCTCGAGGTTGTCGGTGACAGAGTCCTCCACGTAGCCCCAGGCTGGACTCACCTTCTGGGCCAGCCAGCAGTGCTCGGTTGTCTCGAGGTCGACACGAGTTTGGATCCACTTCTGCATTTTTCTGAGGGGATTCTCCGGGCTGTGCTTCTTGTTCTCAATCCTGTCCTGAAACTGTCTTTCCAAAGGGAGATTCTCAAAGAGAACTACACATGGGGATACTCTTAGCCTCCGGGGTCACCTTCTGGGGTCGGTGAAGCATTTGCTTCAGCATTTAAATCTCCCTTGGAATCTCAGCGAGACACGATCACGCAGTGAGGCTCGGTATGGTAGTGCTTTGTCTGGTTGGCATCTCACCGGCATCTTCAGTGTGGCCCTCCTCGGCTCACAGAATCAGCTGGTCGGAGTATCGGGAGTCAGGAGTCGTGGGTTCTAATCTCTGTTCTGTCCCGTCACTCTTGTGTTCTTTTCCTTTTCCTCTGGTTCCTGTTGGGTTCTAGCTTCCTTGTCTATAAACAAGAGAGCTGCAATAGTCGATTATGAAGATCTTTTCTTGCTCTCAATCTGTGATCCTGTGAATACCTGTGGGAAATTCCCAGTCTGTAGATCAAGAGTTGAAACCTATTTCTGCTCTATCACAGAGCTATCCATTAACATGCTTTTGAGAGCCAGGAAATTAGTACAGCTTTAATATACCTTCTTATAATGTCGACTGTGGTGTGATGAAAGCAATATACCCCTGATGTGTGGCTCAGGATGTATGCTGGAGCTACCTTTACTACTTGGGTGACTTTAGACAATCTGTTTTCCTTTTTGGTTCTAAGTTTCTTTATTTTAAAAATGAGAGCGTTTTACTTGATGCTGAAGGCCATTTTGAGCCATAAAAATCTTATTATTTCATTTTCATTATAGTAATTCCTTTTGTTGCACCTGTAACATCAGTGGTATAAGCAACCTCTATTTGCCCTGCAACTTATCATTTTAGAGAGTTATCTGGGACACAGAAAGGTTAAGTGAGTTGGCCAAGGACATGTAACCTCTGTGTGTAAGAGGAGGAACTTGAATGCAGACATTTCTGACTTTGATTAGCTTTTTATCTCTGACATCATGATCCCTTTCCAGTTTGTTATTTATATTAAATTATATGTGATAATCAAATATACATTGTTATAGGTAGACATTATAACATGTTTTATAAAATTAGTAGTCAACATATGAATATACAAAGAGAATGATTATATAGAAATTATTTTAATTTCTTTAAAAGTCCATAATGGTTTTATGTGTTTTGCTAGCTTTATGGGATGATCATTCAGAAAAAAATAAAAGATGATTTCAGTTGACTTGAAGAAATCTGGTTGCTGAATTGCAGTATACTGAAACCTCTGTTATATGTCGCTTTGCCATGTTAATACGTGAGCTATATACAGAACCAGACAGGATTGTGTGGCAAGCATGACTTTACATGGTAGAATGCAAAAGTGAACATAAATTACAAAGTGAAAATGCTCATGTTTGCTAGATGAATGTGCTAAAGCAGTGGGCCTCTTATTGACTTATTGATGTATTGACTCCGCAGGCCACATATTGATTTAGAAAATCACAAATGGGCATTATGTATGCCCGCACCATGTAACTCATAAGTACACGTAGTGCACATTTTTATTTATTTTTGTTAAACATTTTCCAAGTGTTAATTTGGTGCTCTAGAGAAGCCATTCTTTTTTACTTAGTTTTCCTGTTTTATTTTTGCCAGAGGTAGGTAGAATTTCATTGTCTTTAAATAAAAATTTTAAATAAATGAATTTACTTTTACTGTATTAAACTACCTATGTAACGTATTCAATTCAATAAGCACTTATATTTGTACTATATAAGCACTTAATGTATCCAGGGCAGTGTTCTAGACCATAGGGATACAGTGATCAAACATGACCCGCTCTTGGAACTTGGATAGAAGATTAGGATTGATGTAATCCACAAAAGAGTCAGAAACCCCTGAGAACTCCAGTTAAATATCTAGCGAAAGCCTGGTTGATACAAATGAAGATGTCTGGTAACCCAAGGGTTAAAGATCTCTGCTTCTCCCCCCCTCTCCCCCCCCATCTTTTCCTACAAAGGAGCATGGCGGCTTTTGCGGGAATGTGTGACGGAGGTTCCACTGAGGACGGCTGCGTCGCTGCCTCTCGGGATGACACCACACTCAATGCACTCAACACTGTAAGTCTGCTCGAACTTGCCCCAGTAGGGAAGGGAGGATTCCTTGTTGTGTTAGAAGAGGGGGAGGCTGCGAAGCGGGTTATCATTCTGAGCTGGCCTCGAGTCTGTGAAGGAGGCCATTTGTCCAGAAATCGCAGGAAGGTGAGCGACGGGGCATTAGATTCTGATGTGACCGCGAGATCCCCAACTATACTTCTGTGAGCGCACCTTTCAAATATGCTCCACGGGTTTTCTGAACATCAGATGACATTACCCTTGTTTATAGGGCTGGGAAATCTTAAAGTTAATGCCGTGCAGACGTATGGCGGTGGACTTTTTAATTAATTAACAGCCCTAGGCCCAGTACTCCTACAAATCTCAAGGATTGGTATAGGAATCACTTATTCTGGGCTGAATTGATGTGATTTTAATGCGATTTACATGGAGTGAGAGGCTATCGAGAAGTAAAATGTGCATGTGTGTGTGTGTGCGAGTGCGTGTGCGCGTGTGCGAGCGTGTGTGCGTGTTTGCTCTGTGCGTGGTCTGTCATGGCAACTCTAGTGTTGCCCAGTGCTCAGTCTTTTTGGGAAAGATGTAACAATTTTAATGATATAAAAAGTCATGGTAGTAGAATGGTATGGGGAATAAGAGAATCTTTTTCCTAATCCTGTCGAGTTGCCCCATTGGCATGCTTTTTACCTAGTATATATCTAACAATATTTAAAAATTAAGGTATTTTATTTTAAAGAAAGTAAACCACTCTGTTCGACTAAGCCTTTTGCCCCCTAAACTGCATCCCACCTCACCCCCTCCTCCCCTCCACCCTGTTCTCTTTTAGTTAGAGTTTGTGTAAGTTTTTCATTTTTTAAAATTGATTGCCCTTCAGGTATTGTTAAGTTTTATCTTTTTTTTTTAATAAACTTAGCATGCATTAACATTTTAATATACAGAGATCAGAAAAAGGAGGTTATATATGAATAGAAACTAGGAACTTAACATATGTTAAATTTAACACCATGGTGTCAAAAGTGTCCTGTTCATCTGTTGTCACTTCTGACTTTCCCTTATACTCTCTTCTGTGTATTTTGTATTTCATTGATTTTTTTTTCTTTCTATCTTCTTTTTTTGGCATTACTTTATCTCCTTCCTCTAGACTCCTTTCACTTGTAACAAACTGTATTTAAGGAAAACATCAGAACATTGACTGTGTATTGAGATATATGGCTCCTTCTGTAGCTCTCGTCTGGAGGAGAAGCACACTTTGTCATCTCAGGCTACTCAAGTTATGTTGTATCACGTTTTGAATTGGTCTTTTTGATCTTGTTGGATGTGCTAAATATCAAAAGATGCTGATTACAAGTCATTACATGTAACTCTTCTCATTTCAGATATTCCATGTAAGTCTCTTTCTCTTTTTTTCTTGAAAGTCCTCCAACGAATTTTTTTTGGCATTTTTGAAACATACTAACCTAATAGTATTTTTTCTTTTCACTGTGCCATGCTTCTTTAAAAGATTTTTATAAGGATCATTTAAGGGTAGGGTCAGCTCAGCTCATCAAACTTCCTAATTTCAGAAGTGAGGAAGCTGATGATCTGAGCAGTGACGTCATTTATATATGACAGGTTATCCGCAAAGCTGGGACAAGGATTCAGGCCTCAGTTTCTCGTCTCTGTCCTCTCTCACATTGCCTCCCCGAAAAAGAAAAAATGAGACAATATCATACAATGGAAAAAACTCTAGACTTGGAACACTTATGTTCGTATTCCAACCCTTCCACCCAAAGCTGTTTTACTATAGCACATGTCATAATTTTTCTGAATCTCATTTGTAAGTTAGTATTTGCGCTATATTCCTCACTGTGGTAGTGTGAATATTACATCATAGAATGTATGTATGACATTTTTGTAAATCCCAAAGTACTATTTAATATAAGGCAATAAAAACAGGAACATGCTCATACAGGGTCATGAGTGGAAACAGCTTATTTTCTTGACCTCCTTCAGTAGCACGGAGCAGTTTGGTACTAAGAATAGAGAAGGGGAATGGGAATTCATAGGGGGAGGGTTGTGCTTTATTCAAACCACGGGGACTACACCAAAGTGCCTTGTTAAATTTATGGGCTCACTGTTAGATCAAGACCAAAGGTAGAAAAGTGAAGCCCTAATAGGAGTAACTGAGGAGGAAGAAAGATGAAATTGAAGGACTGGAGATCTCACCAAAAAAAAAATAGAGATAGAGGTGATTTGAGTTGTGGAGACTGAACTGGAAGGCAAACCTGTTAAAATGGTCCTTAATGTAAATATTGACATCACCAAAGATGATGGAGTTTGAGGTTGAGAGTGGCCTCTGAGTTAATGTTCTGATGTCATGAGAATGGTAGGTGAGTAGGTGCTGTAAACTTTTGAGTAGGATAAATTACTGAGAGAACAGCAGAAGGAAGGTCTGAAAGTGGCCTTAAGAAGCAAAGAGTGTGCTGACTTCTCTTTTCTGCTGTGTGAGTTTATTAGAAAGGTTGGCAATGGATATATCATCTTCTTGAGGGTAATCCCAGTTAGTGCTGAGAAATGATCATTCTGAAGGGGAATTTAGCAAACATTTATTAAATGTCTCCCTTATAAAAGGCAGTTATTGGGGACAAATGATAAAAACCAAAATTCCCAACCTAGCAGCTTACATTCTGTAAGAGGTGGAGGATGAAGAGGCCCTTGGTCATAGTAAGTAATAGTGGAAGGATTGGGCAGAAAAGTTAAGCTAAGTGATGGCTGTAGCTTGGGGATATTTTGATGAAAATATGGAAAATGTTAGTATGGGAAAAGACATTTACCTAGATCTATAGTGAATCTAGATGGAAGGATTAAAGAAATACATTGGAAGTTTTTAATGGGACATTTAGTGTATTGTACTCTATTTAAAGGAAATTTTAGCTAATACCCCTTGTATCTGCCTAAACCTAGATCACTTCCCTCCCACTCAAAGAATTTGTGTTGGAAGGGACCCCCAAGACTAAGCAGTGCATACTCGTGCATGAGCAGGATTCCCCCCCACTGCAGGACTACCACATGACATCCCTTCATGCATTTGAGGATGATGCTCCTGTTCCCCTGGCCCTGCCTGTTCTCCAGAATAAATGAACCCAGTTCTTTCCTCTGAATATCATCATTTGGCATGAAGCTCTTAATTATGCTGATGTAACCATTCTGTGAATATTCTTCAGCTTATCAAGATCCTTCTTAGTATATTTTACCTCGAATTGACACCATGTTCTGGATATAACCTGACCATGATACTGTGCATTGTGACCATTGCTTTCTTTTTCCCTTGATACTGTATCTTTCCATGTAACTAATGATCACATTAACTTTAGAGGTAAGGGGGGAACTTTGCCATATAATGGCTCCTTGTCCCATCTCGGTTGTTTGGCATGTAAAATACCTGATAATTTGGTCCCTTCTTACATAAGCAGACCAAATGACAATGATGAGTTGAAGGGACAAGGAGCCATTAGAAGTTATTTCCTGGGCTTGTGACCCAAGGTCAGATCTGCACTGTGAAGGCTGGATGGATCGAGGAGAGAGTACAGCCAGGAGATCCGCCGGGAGTTTACTGTAACCAACCGAGTTGAGAGACAGTGAGAACCTGCACTTGGGTTGTGGCTGTGGGAATAAGGGAGTGTGTTCAAGAGACATTGAAAAGGCAGAAATGACAAGATTTGTCAGTGGACTGGAGATTTGTAAGTTGGCACCAGGACTGCAAGCCTGGGTACCGAATGTGTGTGGGTGCCCTAAATAGTAATAAAGCAGCTTGGAAGAGGGTAGAGTTTGGGAGTTAAATTTTGGTTTTGACATGTTAAGTTTAAAATGCCTAGCTCAAGAAAGACTAGGGGGAATCTATATCTATATCTATATCTATATCTATATCTATATCTATATCTATATCTATGTCTATGTCTATATCTATGTCTATATATCCATATCTATATCTGTATCTATCTCGGTGCCGTTTTCATAGAGAGGTTAATTGAATCTATAAAATCTGATGAGATCACCAATTATATAGAATGTTGTGAAAAGAGAAGAGGGTATCCAAGGTAGAGCCTTGGGAGACACCCATGGTTAGTGGACTTGAGCTAGAGGAAAAATCAAATAGGTGGAGTCCCCAGAGAAGGTAATGTCATGAAAGAGAATGGAGGGAGAAGATTTAAGGGGGCAGACTTTGGGAAGAGATTTGGAGGAATGGCATCAAGAGTACTACCAGTAGGAGGTGGCAAGCTGGATCACTTCAGAATGAGGAACAGGGTCTGAGAGAATGAGAGATGATCTAGATGTGTTTGAATTGCGAAGAAGGAACTTATAATATGTTGCCTCCATTTTTTGGTTTTGTTTTGTTTTGTTTCCGGTTAAGCAGATGCAGTCCTCTGCTGAGGTTGGGGTTTGAATTATAGGAAACGAGAGTAAAGGTTTAGAAAAAGAGCTGCTGTGGGATACGTGTAAGAGCCTGATGCCTGTGCCACCTATGCTTTAGTCAAGTCATTGATAAAAAGTGCTGAGCAGCACAGGACCAAGCATAGATTCCCTAGGTGTCTCCTGCCAAAGGTTTCCCAACTATTAACTACTGTTTTTGTTGTCTGATCTTTCAGTTACTTTGAAATCAATTTAACCATATGATTGTCTAGCCCTGGGACTTTGAATAAACCTTCTTGTATCCCCTGTTTAATATGAGTGAAAAGAAATTCTGAAGTTCATCATGCCTATGCACATAAGAAGAAACTAATTTTTATAAAGCAAAATTTATCTTGCACATAACATTTTTAGTATAATAAAGTTAAGATTCTTATTGTCAACCAGCAATATTTTTTCTCAGTATAGTTATTGAAAGAGATGTCTGCATAGTATGTTCAGCCTTCGGCTTGTTTCTTTGGATTTGCTGGAGAGTAGGACTAAAGGAGCCTGATTAACAGAGATAAGTTCTTATAAGCGCTCGTGATCACATTTTGTAAGCATGGTTCTTCAAGGATACATCC